TGTTTTTTTTAATTTTCTCTTGTTTTAAATGTTTTCTTAGATTTTATTTTTAGGGAGGGTAATTAGGTTTATCTATCTATTTTCAGTGGAGGTGCCGCGGATCGAACTCGGGACCTTGCACATGCTAAGCAGGCACTCTACCACTGAGCTATCCCCTCCCCTTACATCTTTTTCTTTATTGACCGAAATATACCATAAACATGCTGTGTCTGGTTCTGGGCAGTACCTGGAGTATCACTAATACTTGGAAAGCACATATTTTTAAATTAGTTTCTAAGAACCTGTGTTCTCAGATTATCAATTAGATTTTCAAAGGTCATATTTTCCATATTTACTTAGAAAAGCCTTCTGCTGCCCAGTGACAAAGCTTCAAGCTTTCCCCAAGTGCTCTGCAACTTCAAATGAACCGGCCATCCCCTTTTCAACAGATCAACCCTTTTCAAGACCCAGAGTTCACCTACCTAAAAATGTTTCTTTCATTTGGGACTTTGAGCCCCAAATCCCACTTCAGGTGGAAAACTAAATTAAAAGCCCAACCAACGGACACAACTTCGAAAAGCCTCTGCCTTTAATCCACAGGGAACCCTCAGGACACATTCAGAAGAAGCCAGGAGGTAAGTGGAGCCTCCCTTGCAGGCCTCTGGGTTCTGCTTCTGGGAAGAGGGGGGAAGTGAAATAACAAGAGTCTCCCAGCAGCCTGACCTGGTGACTGCACACACACACACACACAGATGACCCTATTTATGATTTCACTGAGAAAGTTCAACCTGACGTTCAGGATATCATCTCTTAAGTTCCTAGGGGAAAACGTGCCAAAAATACAATTAACCTTTGATTCATCTTTGACTGTTTTTTTTTTAAAGTACAGATTCTAATCTCTATGTGCTAACTACAGACTAAAATAAACCTGTATCTTATAAAGCTGATGTTGAGGAAAAGAGCAATGGTTGGATTTAGGCAATGCTTGGGGGATTTTTAAGAATAATGTCTATTAGAAGTTTGAGAAACATGTTTTCTGATCTCTACAGGAAAGGGAAGAACTGGTTTACTCATTATAATCATACTGCTAGGTCTTCATCATCAGAAAATTAGTGCACTGGGGTTTTTCTAGAGAGTCCGTGGCAGGTTTAGATTTTTCTCACGAGAAAAAGGGCGAGAAAAGACTCTAAATAAGCTGGCTGTCTGGGGCCAGACCCACTGGTGTCACCCAAAGTCTAAGAAGAAACCTACCTGAAAAGAAAACCCATCTAAATACACAAAAGACACTTAGTGATTTAATAAGTTCCCGAATTCACTCTGTCCAGCTTTGACCATTTCCTACAGCTAATCAAGTAATAATGATCATCTCACTTAAGAGTTATCGATATTTTTATGGATATTTTCATGGTTATTTTTCTTGTACCACCTCACTAATCCTCATCATAACCCTATGAGGTAGACACTATTAGCCCATTTTACAGATGAGGAGACTGAGGCCACTATAGATGGATGACTTGCTCAAGTTCACACAGCAAGCAGGTGGCAGAGCAGAGATTCAAACCTTGTTCTATCTGACTCCAATCCCATGCTGGGAATTCTGAACCTCAATTTCATTGCCTCCCTATTTCTACTAAAATGACTTTTTTTTTTCTCTCTGCTCGAAATGCAAATGCTTCTTGGGGTAAGAGTCTAATTTCACCCAAAGCCTTGTCTTAATGACAATTAAGGCACATCCTTTAAAGAATGCCATGGGGAGAAGTCTGCCCTGTTTATCTGAAGGGGGTCCCATTTCTAAGCCAGAATGTAGACACTTTTATAACAGATTCTCGGTCTCTGTCCCCTGTCACCAGAGATATTCTTAAACTACCTCACAGAGAATGGTTTTATAGAAAACAGAGTGGAAACAAAAAGAGAGAAACTATATGTCAGTCAAGCCAGAATTTTGTCCTCCAGCAGTACAAAAGCAAGAAAACGTATTCTTAGGTGGCCCTGAGCACACAGAAATCCATCATTTCCCAGGGTTTATGGACTTTCCATCCTCCCTCTTCCAACCCATCCCAGCATCCTCAATTTCCTGGCAGCACAGTGGAGCCTTGGGGCTCAGTGGTGTCCTGGCCTTATGATCATCCCACACGCCTCCTACCCAAGGATGGCAGAAATTAGATCTTGTCTCCCCTTCTACTTCTGAAATGGAAACCACCCCCCACCGACCCTAGCTTTTAGCTGGGAGTATGGCTACCTGAAATCAACATCACATTTCCCACACACTCCTTTGCAGCAAGGTGTGGGCATGTGATTAAGTTCCAGCTCACAGCCTACAGGCAGAAGTGTCTGTGGCAACTCCCAGGACAGTGAGCCTTTCTTTACCTTTTCTCCTCCTGCTGGCTGAAGGACAGATATGAGGACTGGATAGTCCAGCATCCTTCTTGGATTATGAGATAATTCTCACTCCTGGGATGGTGGACCAGAAAACTGAAAAGAACATAGGAGCCTGGCCTCCGGACTTCTGAATTTGGTGAGAGAATAAAACCTTAAGCATTTTCTATAAAATGTGGATCCCAGTTTAATTAGACTCACTTTAAGAGAAGCCAAAAATACTCAGATAAGGAACTTCTCTACAGTTCCAAAATCAGTCCTAGGTAACTGAGAACACCCGAGGATAACCTTCCCCCTTCCGTCCTGCATGTCCCTAAGCAGGAGACCCTAAGCAGCTCAGTTTCAGAGGCTGTCAGTTTGCCCCATGCCGCTCTAGCTCCTTTCCACTCCAGCCCAAATGGACTACACTACCAAAGCAGTGACACAGGTGACCAGACATTCACAGCGGGATTTTTGACTCTCACCTGGCAGCTGGTTCCATAGCAAAGCAATCCTGTAGAGCCAGTCTCCTCCCGCACCAGCTGCCCCACCACTGGGGTAGTTTGGAAACATCATAGGGGCTGACATTTTCCGAGTGCTTACTCTGTACTAAGCTCTGGTCCAGACGTCTTATACACTGCAACGACTTGGAGCCGCTGAGCAATTTTTTAAGGTAAGTACTGTTGTTGGACCCATTTTACAGACAAGAAGCCTGAGGGACAGGGAGACTAAACAACATGGCTGGGAAGACTCAAGCCGAGATCTAAACCCCAGTGATGGCCTGACAGCCTGTGCACGTGCCCAACACCCTACACTGCCTCTCAGGGAGAAGGGAAAATGAAAGGTGATTAAAAACAGCTAAGCACCCCTACCTCTAAAGCTGCTATATTTCAACAGAAACTTTAATTCTGCTTTACTCAATGCACTATAAAAGTCCTACCATTTTCCTGGCTTTGGAAAAGAGGATTTCTTGCTTCAGCTGTGTCATCACCTGCACGTTCTGGAGTGACTTTCCCAACCATTAATAACTGCAGAGCAGGTGGGATAGGAAAACAGCAGTAAAAATGTTCAAAGATCACCCCCAACCTCAGCAAGAAACAAAGGCAGAAACTGACTCACGGGAGTGAGAGGTAACCTCAAAGGTCTTCTACGTGTTTCCGTGCTAAGGCACCACTGGTGTTCTGTTTGAGGAGTCGAAGTTCTAGAAAACAATCCAACCATTTGCACCAGGGCCATTTAAAGGGATGTGTGAGTCCTCTGGGCAGTGTGTAAAACTGGGGCCCCAAACCTTGGTTAAAAAAGGGGGGATAGGGGCTGGTCTACAAGGCTCACCGGCTGAGCTGCTCAGGTGAGAGGATGTATGAGTCTCGGAAGAAGGCAGTGCCATGCTGCGGGATTCTGTACAACTCACACCACCACCCACACTCACCAGGATCGCTTTACTTCTCTCTGGAGGGTGGAGATGCCACAACAAAACTGTCAGTCAGAGCTAAGTCACAAATCAGGCTCTTTAATATTCAAATGCTTTCTTCCCCTGATCTAAACTCAGCTCACCAGGGCAGTCAATCTGCCCCTACGACGTAACCCGAAATGTGACATTTTCTCACCAAACTCAACTATCCCTGACCTAAAATTGGGGGGCAGGGGAAACTTTCCAGACCAGAGGTTGCAAACTCAAATGCCTTATAGGGGCCAAAAATGGATGAAGCAGGCCTAGTTGGGATTGATTGCGACAAAATGGTGAATGTGCACCCTGTCCATGAAAACAGCTGCTCTCAGCTCCAAATGATGGTTCTAACAAGAAAGTGGGACCAATGCTCAGCAAACTTGAAGCTGCAAAGTCTGATACGTTTGTGAAATCTCCCGGTTCTAAAATGCTGACATCAAATTCAAAACAATATCTGACACCCTGAGGGATAAACCAGGCTACAGGTGATTTGGCATGCGGAGAGTGAATCTGCCACCAGACACAGCCAGGGCCACTTTCCACATGATTAAAAGTCACCACTAGGCTGGGCGTCCCTGGCTGGGGTCAAGAATCTCAAACCAGACGCAGGGACCCTTAGAGTCCTTCCTGTATCTAGCCAGAAGACAGAAAGGGTGATTTAAACCAGGATCTGAGAAGCACCTCATCTGGTACCACCTCTCTCAGAGAGGGAGGAGGCCCAGGGGACAACCACAGTCACCTTTCTAAGGGGATGCACCATCTGTGGAGGCAGCAGCCACCTATGGAGACCTCTGTGAGGCCGGGGAAGAGGCAGAACCTCATTCTGTGAGATGAGGAAGGCCACGTGAGCAGGAGTTAGGGAGGAGGGGTCCTCCCAGAAACGGCCCCTGGAGACGCTTCTTCCAGAAGCAGGATTAGCCAGGCAGGATAGCTTCTAGAGAACCTGTTTTGACTCCTCTGGTGCTGGGAAGGGAGAAGGGTGAATGCACTTCCTTGGCCAGTAGGGTCTCCCAGCTCCATCGGCCCTTTCAGGACAGAGCATCACTGCCCCACAGACACACAGACCTTTTAAAGATCCTTTCGAGGTGATGAATTCCTAGATCTGGAGGTCGCTCTGACAGACTTGATTCCTTCACTCTCTGCCTAACTCAGTTACTCCTAGAAAGTCTTTTTCACCATCTCTTCCCACAAACTGCATCCCCAGAGCCCCACAGCCTACCTTGGCACTGGAATCCTTGCTTTCCGAAGCCCCTGCAAAGGTAGAAGGAGGCATGTCAGACAGCCCGAGGGGCCCAGCCACCAGTTCCCCCACAGTCACTCCCCCTTCCCCCTGCCCCTCTACCCCAGGTGCAACCTTCCAGCCACAGGCGGGTGCCCAAGAGTCTTCCGCCTTTGGGGAGGAGGGGGTAGGTGGGAGCTCAGCAGGAACTCCCACCTTCCCTCAGAAGGCAGAAGAGAGGAGGCTGCGACCACCAGGTGGCGGGATGGGGGAAAGCGTTTCCGTCGTGGTGGGGGCGAAGGGCAGGAAGGAGATCTGCCCAGAAAGATGCCCGCGTACCCTCAGGGAAAGAGAAGAGAAAAAGACGCATCCAGAGGGAGGATGGCAGAGCCCCCGCGGCGGTGGTGTTCCCTGGGGGACTCGGCAGAGAGAAAGGATTCCCCATGCTTAGAGGGACCACGGAGCGCGGGGGGGGAGGGGGTGTCCCCGCAGTGATGTGAAGGGGAAAAACTGAGGAGTGGAAAGGGGAACCCAGGCCCTCAGGGAGGAGCAAGCAGTAAGAGATAACACAGGGCGCTGCCCCCAGAGACAGAGGAGAAGGAAAGGATGCCCCATGCCCGCAGGGAGATAGAGAGGATACCCAGGGCGCTGCCCCCGGAAAGGAGGGAAGTGGGTGAGGATGCCTCGAGCCCGGAAGGAGGCGGAGAGATAGCGAACCCCGCGCGAGAGGGCACTCGAGGTGCTGCCCTCCCGGGGAGGGCCAGCACCCCGCGCTCGGAGCCCGGTGGGGAAAGGGCACCCGCGCCTCAGCCCCT